TATATATATATATATATATATATATATATGTATATATAGGTGTGTACAATCATAGAAAAGAAACATTAAATTCCTGTCTAAACTCACCCAAGATTAGGTTGACTAGTGTGCGCCGTTGCTCTAACGAGAGGGGGTGGTTGGGCCTGAGCTACGGCTTGCATAGTAGTAACTGGATAAACTCCAGGGTACTGAGCTGTTGCTCCGCCACCACCCCCTCTACTCCTTAATTGATGAGTGGTATAGGTTTTACTTGGCGCAGATACCTACCGTAAAAACATTTCAATGGATCATTGAATGATTGGATAATCATAGAAAGGAAGGTTTAATCGAAATTTTGAAGATGACTTACATTGTGCATACTTAACGGAGGTGGCGTACGTATAAGGGAACTAGCCTGAGAGACCAGAGCTGTTTGAAAAGCCGGTTGACCGCCAACGAGTCCCGACCATCCATTGACAACGCCTTGTACGACGTTCAACATCGGTTGCGAAGCGATGCTCGATCTCCCCGTAGGAAGTGGTGACGGTGACGAATGCGCAGGATGGGTCACAGCAGAAGCTTGCCTTGGTTGACTAACACGCTGAGTTTGTTGAGCACTCGTAGCACTAGTTCCACGTGGTAATATTGTCTGTAAAGGGCCCGCACGCGTATTAAGGCTCGCCTTACTCGTATTATTTTGTACAGAGGATGTTTTTGACACTGGTGGCGTAGGAGGTTGTCTGGTCCATCCACCACCACCCCCGCCACCCTTGCTACTCACTAACAACTGAGAATCCATCACTTTGTTCGGCCAATAATCTTCGAAGCCCGTGTCGGGAGGAAAATAACTCTTAATATCACTCAAACTGATCACGGAGCATGTCTCACTTGCGAACAATTCGTTTCTTATACCCTGTACCTTGCAGCAAAACTTCAAATACGAAAGGTCCCAACCTTCAAGTTTTTCTGCTTTCAATTTCAAATTCTCCGTTTCCCCCTCGAAATAAAATAAGGGTACATATTGAAGACCGTCCTTCACTGTATATGGAACCACTGATTCCTTATTAATCCGTATGAAACCACACTTCTCAGCCTTATGCCTGCTAGATACGTTTGGACTTGCGCCGGCTGTTAACTTGGTATAACAAACGTCCAAAAACGTATAGAATTCTTTAGCGTCGGATAACCTCACTACAAGATCCTTGCATGAAAACTGATCCCTTCCAAATAGACTATCGCAATGCTTCATATTAATCTCGTTGAAAAGCCTACTCTCGGCATCCGTAATATAGTAACTTCTTATGCACGTACAACTATAGATATCCGAGTGCAGATAACTCAGGTACTTGTTCAGGAGCTTAGACTCTAGGATTCGTACCGCGCAATATTTTTCACCGGCACGGAATATGTAAGGTATGTGACACTCGTCGAAACTGGTCCATCCAAATCTACCCCTTTGACTTTCATCGTCCAAAGGAATTTTACCTTCCCCTGTTGAATTGTTTGAACCTGTCGTCTTGGCCACAGTCGAGTCAGCCGGACGTTTGTTTAAATATCCGAGGATACCAGGAAGATTTCCTTGTGTAGAAGATAAACACTGACTCCCTGCTGCTCCTCTTTGCTGTGCTGACCCTCCTCCCCCTGCCCCTGCCGCCGTCGCCGCCGAAACCATTTTCGCCTTGTTCGCTTCCACCATTTTGGCAGCCAATTCTCGGATCTCCGCTTCATCTGGACGTTCTTGTTTAACGACAACTTTATCGAAACCTAGGAAATAAAAGAAATTATCAGTCATTTGTCAAACATGACGAAAATTATCAAGGACCAAACACGCACTCTTTCTCATACTCGAATCGTTTATAATCAAATATGGCGAACGCCTCTCTCTCATGTGTGCTATACGATGTGATATATATATAATACATATATATATATGATTTATATACGATATACATTAAACTAAATAAATATCATACTCTTTTCTTCATTTGTTTCATATAGTGATTAGTTGCTGAAGAATGGATTATATATTATTAGGATTGTCCATAAAAAAATAGATTATTTAAATAGTTCATCTTTATTTACCGACATTTGCAAATGCTTAAATAAATTTTGTTCGCATCGACTTTTTTTATAAGAAAAAGAAGGAAAATAAAAAAAAAAGAATAAAAAAACAATACTTAAAATTAGCGAATAAAGAATTCCTTCTTGCTGCATTGATAGATTCACACTACGCTATTAAAATAATATATTTGCATATATAATAACAGAACTAACCACGACATCGTAACGTGCAATAGTTACGTACGAATTGTTTTTATCATTTTGTCGAAGCACCGTATACAGATTATACATTCATATATTACGTTATGTACATGACCTACGCCCCATATATTATACGTAACACTTCTACATAATCATAAGCACTATTATAAATGAAAATGATTTTTTTAAAAAAGGTAATACGAAGAAAATGCATTCTTTAACAGGATACAAATTTGTATAATGATTTATTCAAGCGAATATTATATCGATCGAATTTCAATTTCCACGCGTTTTTGAATCAAACTCAATGTGAAATTCGACGCCGCGCTGCTACAGGGTGTCACGTGAGTGTGCTTTCTCGACTCTCAGCATCTTCAATGCTGAGAAAGAGAGACAGAGATAGACATAGAGATAAAGATTTTCAAATGAATGCAAGAAGCGCATTAAATCACTGAAACACAAAACAATACCACAAAATACTACACACCACACGTACACTGAACATACTGCACAAATTATTTTTATATGAATAACGATATAATACCAAAACAGCACAGTTACACGTGTATACAGCGACGAAGTTGTGAAAAAACGGGGTTGGTAAGAAAGAATTAAAAGAAAATCATTAAACGAATCTAACACAAGAAACACACGTCACACACAGTTTTCTCATCAATCAAACTTCTCCCTTCCTGTTCTTCTTCTTCTTCTTCTTCCTCCTCGATGATATTTCTTCTATAGCTTTCACCTCGTAAGTCGATAAAATAAATATTGTTCGTAAAGTATTAACTTTGTAAAAGAAACTGGCATCCGTCGATAGAATAATCGAGTGTGCATTCCTCTTGTATGTATACCTTCTAATCGAGTAGTCAATTCGTCTGGACTTTCCAACTGCTGCTGCTGCTGCTGCTGCTGTTACTGTAGTTAACTGTTAAGTTTCAAATAGGATTTCTCTCTATCACCAAAAGCACAGAGGAACTCGGCGACACACATACATTCTTCTCTCTTTCTCTCTATCTCTCTCCCTCTTTCTATCTTTAATACACAGTAGAGTGCACTCGTTCTTACAATCTTGCAAAGGCAACATTGTATACCCATTAGATTCAAACGATGTAAAGAGATATTATACCACTCATTTCTCCTCCATCTCGTTCTCGAGATAAAAGGAATGATAAAAAAAGATAAAAAAAAAAAAAAAAGAATTTCTCCCTTAACTCCCCCCCATCCCACCTGTCATAACCACCTTCGATAAGAAAAATAAAACAGGGCGGGGGGGAGGGAGAGGTAAAAAGTAAGAGTAAGTAAAAACGGATAGAAAGAAGAAGAAGAAAAGCAAGAGTAAGAAACAGATAGAAAGAGAAAAAGAGCAAGAAGTAACTATGGGGCCAAGCGAACGTACAGTTTGACACTCGGTCGTGTGCACTGGTCGTGGAAGGGTTTCTTTTCTCGAGCCATATGGCGTCCGTGCTGCTGTCGGCGCTTGCAACGGGTACGTCCGCAGCGAAGTCGTTCCTCATATCCTCACCGAACGACGATTAATCGAAAGTGGTGGTCCCCTCCGTTGTGTCTTCTTGTTATATTTATTCTTGTATTGATGTTGTTGACGTTAATATTATTATTATTATTATTATTATTATTATTGTCGTTGTCGTTGTCGTTGTTGTTGTTGTAAACTTCCACTCTCTTGCGAATTACATGTCGTTTGGCGAGAATCCACTTATCGGTGAGAGAAGGAGAATAGAAAAATAAAAGAATAGGAAGAGGAGAAGGAGGAAAAAAGGAGATCAAGGAAAAACAGGTAGAAATTGATTAAGTTGAGGATGAGGATGAGGATGAAGATGAGGATGAAGATGATCAGCGGAGAAGCTTAAAAGGCAGGCTTGGCGTTTACGTCTGTTGACCGTAAGAGAAACAACAACGACGTCGACGACGACGACGACGTGCTGCGTCGTCGACGACGACGGCTGCTACTCTTGCTGTTGATGCAACGGTGCTGATAAAGATGACGATAATGACGAACGACGAACAATAACGACGAACAATAACGACGGACAATAACGACGGACAACTTCGACGACGACTTCAACGACGACGGTGACTACTACGACAGCGGCGACGACGGCGACGGTGGTGGCGGCGGCGACGACGACGACGACGGCGTAGTCCATGTTACACGACGCAAGACCGCACAGAAAACTCCCCTTCTCCCACCCCTCTACTGATCTCCCATCCAATTCTCATCCCTCTCTCTCTCTCTCTCTTTTTCTTTCTCTTTCTCTCCCTCTTGCACACTATAGCACACAGTTTTCATGCTCTCCCCCGCACCACTCATCATCAAACCAGGTGGCGCGACCGTGCTCCTGCGTTAGAGAGAGATAGACATTATATACCTCTAACACACATACTCCTCCTCTCCACACATTCATATATATATATATGTAATTGTGTGTAGAGAAAAGAGAATATTGAGAAAAAGAGAGAAAGAGAAATAGAAAATTAAACTTTGCGTATATTATTCCTAGCCACACACACAGTAGGTACATTCCTACTTGTTGATGGCACAATTCAATCATGTTCGTTTGTTTTTTCTTTTTTACATCCAAAAGATGAATTTTTTCTTATAAAAATTACTCCAGAATTTTTCGAATTATCTCTGCATACAATTGGATTGCGTTTTATTTGATCTATTTGATGTAATTGGAAAGTTACACAATACACGTCTTTTCCAATGACTTTTTCCTAGAAAAAAGTATTTCCCTTTTTTCTTTTCTTTTTTTTTTACAATTTACTTTTAGGAGATTTTTTTCTTCGGTGATTTTGTCCTTTATATCCTTAGTCCTTAGTCCTTTTTCGTTCCCTCTGATACGTTTCATGTTCTTTCTTTTTGTCATATTAATACATGATCTTTAAAGTAAACTATTTTCTCAAAAAAAAAAAACATTAAATTCAAAAGCATTTTGCCTACACTACTTATATACACCGGCAGTAACCACTGCGTTAGCGTGTGACGTGTACAAAGTAAAGAGAGTAGGGGTAGTTTCCCCTCTCAACTCTACTTACGGCTTATTGGTGGGGGGTAACGTTTCACTTTTTCGTTACACCAAAATTAACTTACGTTAACGCGAGTTGCACTTAAAAAAATAAGGGGGTGCGTGTACTTATGTACGTGCGTTAGAAATTATACTTTGACCTGATTAAAAGATTAAAGGTTAATATGCATATTAAAAATCCATACGAGTAGAGTGATAAGAGTAGAAAGAAAAGATGATTGCAAATACGATATTGAAAGAATATTAATTAAACAAAAGAAACCAAACATAATGATAAAATGTTCAAAACTTCTATTGATTTAATATAAAAAGGCTTTAAATTAATACTTATAAAAAATTAATCTGAAATAATTTAAAACACTTATCAAAATATTATTTCATAATTTTTATCACCAAAAAATATTTCACAGTCCGATGTACATCTACTTATTTAATTAATTAAAAATTTTAGAATCAATCACTACTGTACGTTACATATATGGGTGTACATTTTTTAATTTACTTATCACATGAACTATTTTTCATTTGTTTCAAAATGTAAACCTGTGCTATGTTGAATACTATGCGTTTGAATATAGCTAAATGATACACGTCTATTCGCGTTTGGCTCTTCCTCTACCACATTCATTATTTGGGACTACTATGAGTGAACTTAGAAATATACACTCAATTTTCTTCAATGGCCAATTTTGTCAAGTAGAATTTTCGTGACGAGGTGCGCGCGCATTTTCAAATTTTATCCTCAATGCACGCAAAAAAGTATAACTTTAATAAATAAATATGTGTATATATGAATGTATATATATATATATCTAATTCACTAAGAAAGCTTTTTTGAAAAATATCGTACCCCTTGGAGGAGAACGACACCCCGAATGTCTGACCTGAAAAAGTTCTTTCTACTTGCGGAATATACGGGATTTCCCTTATACCTTCAATCCTCCTTTAGTAATACTGGTTATAATAATGATAACAATAATGGTGAAGATGTCGATGACGACGACGACGACGATGATGATGATGATGATGATGATGGTGGTGATAGGTCATGCCTCGACATCAAATCTTCCAACTGTAGTTGCACAATATACTAGACATTGCTGTATGCTTTAATTGGTCCTATCTCTCATATCTAATACTCTGAATTTTTGCCATCGACTGTACTCCCCCACTTACCCTTCCACGACACTCCTCCTCTCACTCCTCCAACTCCTTGCCATCTGGGACCTCCTCCTTCACTGGTTCGCTTATTCTCTCGCTCACTCACACATTTACTCATTTCTTCCTTCTTCACAGCACAATGTCCTTCTTATTCTTATTCTTATTCTTATTTTTATTCTTTTTCTTTTTCTTTTTCTTCCTCTTCTTCCTCTTCTTCCTCCTCCTCCTCCTCCTCCTATTACTGCATGAGGTGTATGTACATACGAATTGTCAAGACTTCGAGGCGACTTTTTTCTCTATCCTCTTATTTCTCTTGTTGTTATGTTGTGTTGTGCTTCTTTTTCTTTTTCTTTTTCTTTTTCTTCTTCTTCTTCTTCTTCTTCTTTCTTGTTTTCTTATTCCTTTTCTTCTACTTCCGGGATTTCCTCCAACGCGACACATCGCAAGCAAATGCTCCTTGCTATTTTCCTTTACTTCTTCGAAACATCCTAATTCGAAATTCTTTTCTCTTTTTTTCTGTACTTCTCTCCACTGACCTATATATATATTCATCACAATTTTATTCGTAAATGATATTTTTTTAATTCCTTTTTTTAAATACGCTTTAATTGTTTGTTGGAGTTTGTACTTTTGATAACGTATACAATTCGAATAGATATATTACAGTAATAGAATTATCTTCTCAATTCGAAGAATACACAGCGTGTATCGTGTTTTTATATCTTTCGTTCCAGCTCTAAAGTTTAACGGCCTATTCGTGTGGTAGATAAGATCAAGTTAGGAAGACAATCCAAGGAAACGAGTCGTAGAACCAGGAAGTTCAGTTTAGCTTAGCTTAGCTTAGCTTAGTTTAGTTCAGTTTAGCTTAGCTTAGCTAGCAAGGATGCTCGACATGATTTAAATCGACTCAATCGATTCACTACAATTAAATCATCATCTCCAATTTCTTTTTTTTCCTGTTTTTATTTCTCGTAAAAATGGCTCAATGTTTTTAAAACATATACCAACAATTAATTCTTTTTCTTTCCCATATTTTTCAAATGAATTAATTCATTTGAAAGCTTTTTTTTTTTGTATATCGTAAGATCAAAAAACCCTAGGGAATTTTTGGCACCCCTAGGAACTTCTGGGATGCCCCCTTTCATTTGGATTTGGAAATATTCCAACAGACATTCCGATCGTTTCGCATAATTCGCTTGACAAAAATGGCAATTGTTAGAAATAAGTACAATTATACGATTAAATAAAACGTTTATAAAAATACATGAAATGTGGTATATGGAGAACACGCAAATAAACGTACTTCAATGCAAGTAATTAAATTCGATTCGACGTGCGGGCTGAGAAATGCACGCATGCGCGATGCTCATTTATTCGCGCCTGAACTAGCATGATAGACGCAGCACGTGGTCGTCGCGTTTCTTCTCTCTGATCTCAACATTTTCTATCTATTTTTCTCATATAATCTCTTTTTTAAATGCTTTATAAAAAGCTATTTAAAAACTTTGTCATGAAAACAATTATAGATAACGGATTTCACCTAGATGGTCAAAATAATTTTACCTGACCTACAAATTTCTTTTATTAAAACACGTCCTTCCCCCCTTCACCCCTTTTCACCCCATGAATAATACATCTAATCTCCTATTCTTAAACTTACTTATTTTTTTCTTTTTAATAAAAGTCAATTAAATCATAAAACCTGCTGTATTAAGAAAAAAGAAAGAAAATAAAAATAGGTCTTTCAGTCAAATATTTTAACTTGTTATACGAACGGTTATAACAACATTTTCATTTTTTAATTGTAATCATTATTTATCGTGTTTCTAATTGGAAAATGCACATTTTCTTTTATTAAATAAAAAAAGAAAAAGAGAAAGTTTCTTTCGTCTCTAACGAAACAATCATTTAATGCATTAGAAGAATTAAATTAAAATAAAATAAATAAATAATAATAATAATAATAATAATAATAATAATATTATTATTATTATTATTATTATCCGGTACGCGTGCATTAGAAGTGAAGCTTCTTTACTGTCGATTGGAATGTCAACTTTCCAGAACATTCTTTCCTTCTATGACAATTTATTATTCAAAACCTTTCCTTTTGTGCTCCACATTCTCACCTAACATAAGTTCTGTTTTCTGTTCATCTTTTCGTGATGTAAACACTCATATTCCTGCAGAAAATTTCGCCTCGTGAAATCTGTAAAATAAAATAAAATAAAATAATAATAATAATAATAATAATAATAATAATAATAATAATAATAATAATAATAATAATAATAATAAAATAATAACAAATAATAATTTATCTCGTATAAACTTTTATTTATTTTTCTAACATTAATTTCAATATTTTACCTTTATTAACATTAATAATTAACGCTATATTAATATTATAAAAATTAATTACCGAATAATAATTAAAAAAATATTACTTACCTGCTTCTACATCTGTGGTCTCTCTTTTTCTTTTTGTAGAAGGGAGACTATAAATGCAACCTATTTACTCGTCATAACATAGTATATTGCCATTCCTTGATGACGGGTATACCCGTCAATAACATCTAATTGGTTAAATTAAAAAAATTTGTGATGATACTTACAGAAATAATTATTAATATAAATTAAAATATATAGAGTAACCACACTTATCGAAATAATTTGATTTTAATAACACGTCATTACAAGAAAATCTAAAAATCAGAGAAATACAGCCCTTCTCCTATTAAAACCCTCCCCCACCCACTCCCTTTCTAATTCTACGTATGCTCTCTCTTTCTCTTTTTATTAATCCCCTCTCCAAATGATCACATTTTTCGTGACGCTCCCTCTTTCACTTCGACCTTGAAATATCGCACCTAACGTAATTGTAGAAGTTTCATTTCAAAAAGAAAAAAGAGGAATACTTTTTTTTATATATATATATTTGATTTGTAGGACGTGACGATGAGAATATATTTTTTTAAAAAGCAAATCATCAGAAAAAAGACCATTTTATCGATTGTCTTCTTAAAAACTAATCAAATCAATTTGACATATATACAAAATAATACTTTGTGCTGCGAAATCCGCCGCCGACAGAATTTTGTAGTTTAAAGAACATAATAGATTTTATCAATATAGAAATATGTATTTGATTGTTTGTCAATGTTGACGTCACCAAATACTATTTAATACCATTAAGCATTAAAAGCATATATTAAATACTATTTAAGCAAAAAATTGATTATTAATTAATTAAAAGAAAATTTTAAATCCAATGAGAAAGCGTATACTTGAATAATATTCAAAATATCGTTAACAGTCTCTTTTATCATATTCTAATGATCAAAAGATATGCATGTATTTATATTCTCTTTATGAAACAATTATAGTCATGTTTGACTTATTTCAGTTAAAAATAATTAGAAGAACGTGTCCAAATAAAAAAAAAAAAAAAAGTAAGATTTATTACATTTATACGCAGAAAAGTTTATAAACTTAAGAATTAAAATAAAAAAAATTTGAATGTTATAATTTGAAACATTTTATTTCACATCAACATTCATATAATTAAAACAAACGTGTGTGTGTACTTATATTCGCACGTAAGAAGTTATACATATAGAAATTTAATTAATTCACGTCCATTAGTTGATCTGGTTTTGATTCAATGGATATGTGAGTTGTAAGAGGCTTGGTAGCTAAAATATGATACAAATTATCTAGTACAAACATTATCTAAATTTCGTATAAATACAGCATCAATTGTAGTACCATGTCGTGTTGTAGAAAGTGCTTGGTCATTATTTATTAAAAAATTAAAATCTTCAAGTAAAAAGTTGATAAATAAATCAGAATTTTCTGAGTTAAATTAACATTAAAATCATCGGTAATTTATTCTCACCTTTACCCATATATGCCCCACCAATTGTTGTGTATGGAATATTTTTTCACACTTCATCACAAATTTTTTACCATCTTCTGTTTTACACTCCACTATACAAAATTCACCCACTGATGACATCAGAGAACTAACAAAGTCAGACTATCTCACATTCATGCCAATAATAGCGGTCACAATGTCAGTTGTATCATTCGCATTGTGATAGATAGTATCTTCTCCAGCTCGAATATGTGATCATTTGTATTGAATTATACAATTAAAATTTGGTATACTAACAGACTCATTATCATATTACCAAGTTTTACTCAACATAAAATTTGAGATTTTTGTATAATTGAATAAAACAGATCAGCGGAGTGATCCCACAGACTTTGAAAATTGAAAGTATCAAATTGATGATAATTGGTATATGGTAAAGATGGATCTAAATTCATACCAATTTTTGTAGCGGTAATCACAGGCTGAGGCGATGGTCCAGAAGTCATTAGTAAATTTGAAGTAGATGGAGTACATGAAATTACATTCACAGACAATTGGTGCTCTTCTTCAACCATTTTTCTTCGCAGCCTATATGCCTTACAACGTTCTGCATTTGTTTGTACTGAAACTTTTTTTGTTTGTGTTGAAGACATTTCTTTAATTAACATTTTTCTTTTACGATATTCCTTACACTTCTCTGCATTAGTTTTAGGCATCTTGAAAACTGAAACAAAAAACTGAAAGAAAAAATACTGGTCAATAAGAAAGCTGCAAGAGATTATAATTTCATAAATAAGATTTATTGTAGAAAATAATTTATAAATAATAAAAACAAATAATACATACCTAAGTATACCTCACACAATGATACATAAATACTTTAAAAATTATAAAAACAACTTTTATTATTAATATTTACAATTATTTAATATCAATCACCACCGCATGTAATAATTAAATAACTTCAAAACACATAAATATTTTGGAAGTTATTATTAGTATCGATATAAAACACGTGTTGTATATATAGAAATACCAGAATAAATGCTTGAATATAGATAACAGTCAACACTAACTTCAGGAAGATTTGTCGACTAACTTCAGGAAGATTTGTCGACTAACTTCAGGAAGATTTGTCGACTAACTTCATGGTGTTGTTTTCGTCTCGCTTGCGCGCGCATCGTAAAAATTCACTCTCATCATTTTTTCCCAAACGCGCCAAAAGAAGTATAACTTAAAAAATATAAAAATAATATGTGGCTAATTAAAAAAGTTTCGAAAGTACAGATGTACTTAAATCAATTGGAAAAGTATTATGGATAATGCATGTTTAGAGAGATAAGAATATATAGAATATTGAGAATATTTTTTCAGACGCAATAGAGTATGTATTTATACTAGTAATACAATAGAAAATCTAAATTACCGATAAGAACAATAGAAAGGAAAGTAAGACTTGAATGGTAAGTTTTAAGAGTATTGGTATCTTAACTTTTGCTGTGATGTATAAACTTTTGAGCGTCTGCGCATTTGTAAAGTTATGCGTATGCGTTACTGATGAATCTAATGTTTGGGGTGGGTTATGGAAGAAGAGGGGATGAGAGGAGGAAGAGAAGGAGGAATAGAAGAAAGAGGAGGAGGAATAGAAGGAAGAGGAAGAGGAAAAGGAATAGGAGGAGGAAAAGAAGGAAGATGAAGAAGAGGGTTGGAGGTAGAAGAGGGTAGAGGGGTGACGGATAAGGGGTAAGGAGGGGAGAATTGGAAGAGGGGAAGGGGTGGGAGAATGGAAGGGAGGGGCAAAGGGAAGGGAGGGATGAAGGAGTAGAGGGGAAGACGTAAATAATTAAATCGTACGACCGATCGAGTTTCGCATCGTGTTGCATGGATCGGGTGCAGGAGGCTAGGTACATACCGCTCAAAGAGTTGCCAGGGTTAGAGCATAAGATCGCACCGGACAACGTGACAACGTCGCACGGTCGATATGCTCTTTCAGGCAAAGTGCCAAGATTGGTAAATATACGCGGGGGTATATAAGCCGCGGTTTCAGGTACCCTCACCCCCTCACCGATTCATCCACGAACCCCCACTACACGACTTATGGAACTCACCCGTGGGATTTCTCAGCAATAGTGGGGGTTTGGAAAACAGGAGTGGGGGAACCGAAGCTGCGCAGAACCCAGCCAGACGTACTCTCCAATCCGTGCCTTTGCGCATCTCTTAAATACATATACCTGACACGACCTCCTCTCTCTATGTACTACATATGTATTATACTTATTATTTTAATCATGATTTACAGCCGTGCAGCGTTGCCGCTTCTACATCATCCAGGCACGCCCACTCCCCTCTTTTTTTTCGACGTTGCAACCATATATACCTACTACACATATATAGAGAAACCAACCAACCAGTACCTAGGTGTACAAGGCAACGTCGCTTGATCGATACTTGAGAAACGTATATACGTTTAAAAAAAAAAAAAAAAAAAAGAAGTCGCCATTTTAAGGATAGTTTTCTTTCGCAATCTCTACTTTATTGATACATACAATTTCTCCCACTCTTCCTCTACCCCTTTCTCTTTCTCTATTAAAATCGAATTTTTTTCTACTTTTTTTTTTTAGCGCTTCCAATTGTATTATTCCTCTTTTTCAAGTTTTATATACTTTTTTTCAATCTACTTTTCTCTACTTAGAAAAAAAAAAACAAAAGGTTGAAATTACAAGCTTATTTCTTTCGCAACTAATAAATGGTTGTTGATTATTTTAGAAATGATGTCCTTCATCAAAGACGGATCATCGAGGTCGAAAATCGTCAACAATTCCAACGGTTGCGGCGTTGCCATCGCAAAATGGCGGGAGCGGCCTTGGTAGCCTGCCTTCTTCTACATCTTTCCTCTGGGCCAGTCGTTTTGGCAACACTGGAAGGTCGTTAGCGATCTATTTATAGTCGGTCGCCATTGCCGCTGTTACTATGCCGAGCGAAGCGCATACTTGGTTCAGGGGTTGGTGGGTGTATGCGGGGGAGGAGGGCAGCGAGGAATTACTGAAAGAACAATATGGCGCTCAACCGGATGTGCCTTCTTCCAATCTATCCATTCTCTCTTTCTCTCTCTCTTTCTACTACACCTATCACCGCCATTCTCTGCGCTCTCTCGCGCTTTCGCTCTCCTCCCTCTATTTGTCTTTTTCTCTCTTTCCTTCACTATCTCTGTTCCTCCCAAACTCCTCCGCCGCCACCACCACCACTCCTACTTCCTATCCCTCCTCCTCACCCTCAGTCACTCTTTCTCTTTTTCTCTCACTACACTATCATAACGACTAAACGATATTTATTTCCTTTTGCAAAAATATATGCTATGACGGAAGCAAATATTACGTAACTATGCAATCGTCCTGGCAATGTGACTGGCCGCTTATATAAATTTCGCAATAGAACGTTAACAAGGCGTGTCTCTTTATTCTTACTAGAAACTACAATATTATCTATGTATTCCTACTACCCGGTGGTCTGAGCAGATACGGTCGTTACTACTGCGTTTCGTTTTTCTTACGAAAAAAAAACGAAAAAAGGGAATAATAGAACAAATAATTCAAAATAATAGATAAAAAAAATCAAGAAAATAAATAGAATGATAAGGAAAGTGCAAGAGTTGGAGAAAAGAATTCCTTTATAAATTTTACAGACGGGAAGCAGGTGAGCTTTCAGGAGAAACATTTTTTACGCGCTTAGCAAAATTGCATATGGCGGCGTTCAGTCGTCACAGCTGACGAGAATCGTGAAGTATTACACGCTACATACGATGCGTACAACCTATATACATTCACGTGTATATATATATATATATTTATATATCATATTATATACATATATGCATATAAATATATATACATGTATCGCACAGAGAGCACGCATGCGAGTTGCACGGAATCGGAACGGCTTCGGAACAGTTCGGATAATTCCGCGAAACTGCCTCTTTGTTACATCACTACTCGGATTCTTATATAGTACATAAAGCGAATACATTATGTACTGCGCCAGTACATATTTCCCTGGCGGTTCTCAGAGGGCATATATACATACCACCGCGTATATATTTGGCTCGGCATATACATAGGTATATACAACCCATATATACTTGCGCACTAGTGACAAGGAATGGTCGTTCGAGCTGGTAAGCGCTACCACACCACTCACTACTACTATACCGCTGCTGTTACTACACAAGCTTACTACCCTCTCTTCCATCGCACTACCCCCTCCACCTCGCCACCATGGACTATAACAATCCACGTTACACGATGCGCGCATTTGTGGATCAACTGTACACGGAGAAACATGGGCATATAGCTGCGCGTATACGTCTATTTAGTTTCCTTTAACTTGAGCGCATCTTGAAATAAAAAAAGAATAAAAAGAAAAAAAAATGAACAAAAAAAAAACATTGTTGCGATACACAAACATATAACATATGTACGTATAATATATATATATATAAAATATACTCGGCGGATGATATTATTATTATGTGGAGTTATTATTATTATATTATGACGCATCGTAAATCACATTATCAATATTATATGTACATATCTATGGATATGTGAAATGGAAAGCATTTCTCGACCATCCACCAGTGCATTTTTCCGCTTTTAATTTTTCTGCGTTATGAGAGAAAAAAAGAGAAAAAGAGAAATACCACTCGTAGATAATACGCTCGGCATATTTAATGAAAAAGTATGATACATATATAGTATACTACAGGATTACATCCAAATTCCTTATAAAAACAAAAAATTCCTAAATGATTTTCCAATTGATTATTTTTCCTGGAGACTTTTTCTTCCTTTCTTTCTAGAGATTTTCTAGCGTAACAAACTAGGATTATAGTTCCATGATGTAAATGATTCAGAAAATGAAAATGGATATTTATGTTTCTAGAAAATTTCGGAGCACTCTGTATAAGAAGCATAGTATAATGCAATAAATGAGAATATATATGAGAATATACACATATAATATATATATATATATATGTGTGCATTTATCTATGCATGTATATGTACATATATACTAGGAGCGTATATATGCATCACGACGAGAGACGGGAACACCATTTATAAGACCCTCATGAATAATAAACTCGGCAGCATTCGATTTCGGGCTCTTTCTATATACCCAACGGATTATATTATATTATATTATATTATATTATATTATATTATATTATATTTTATTTAATTATATTGTATTATTATTATTATATTATGATGCATCGTAAATCATATTATCAAATTATTATTTCCTCCGTTCCGCATTCATACGTAAGAAGAATATTCCTCTACCCATAACTCGCATATAGGAACATTAAATTGATTTAAAGCATCCATGGTTATGGGAGATCATTATTATCTTCATATAACGTAAAATCGATATCGGAAAGATAAGAGACTCGAATTTCTCATTTATCACTATATATATATATATATATTGTTATTATTATTATTATTATTAATATTAATATTTAGTTAACTCAATATATATAAAAAAATTCTATATTTTTGAATTGAATATTAGAATTTCTATTATCAATATATAAAGTAAACCAATAAATGAAATACCAATAAAATCATCTTCAACTTGAATAATCTTTAAGATATCCGCCATATTAGAAAACGCCAACAGAGCAATGTTGGCGATCGATTCGTCCTCGATGTTGTTTCACCTTCCTAATGGGATGTCTACTTGCGTACACGTGCAATGACGACAACGAGATACCATAGATTAAACGATATACCGTTTATACTACTATGTAACACTTTAGTATGTATTTACCTTACTCGATCATTCACATTTCATTTTTACATGAATTCAAATTAACGAATTTTGTAAAAAAACGAACAAATCTATAAAGAAGTTAGGAGGAACTTAAGTAAGACTAGGTCAAATTAGGTTACATTAGATTAAAGAAACAATAATGAATCGCTTCGTCACATTTCTTTGTTCGTAACAAATGTATTGAAATACTTTGAATTTCTGTAATTGAAAGAAAATTGTAAATGGAGAGAGGGGTATACATTTCCTTTTTTAAAAATGCGACTAAGGCTTCTCACTCTTTCTCTCTCTCTCTCTTATTCTTTTTAGAGATCGTCTTACAGTGTGCTTTAAATAAATCATGACGTCATTCCTTGAAAACTTCGTAGGAAGTAAAAGATATATCTAAGCGATATTAAGGCATTCATCAATCTCGTTGAAAATTCGCCATATACATCGACAAAGTTGGAAGAAAGTTTAATCAAAGTGTTGCATGTATATATGATATATATATATCTATATAACTGTTTCAAACGCTACGTTCGAAAGATCGATTCTCGCTTGTGTTTTTATTCGACCACGTGGGTCCGTGTATAGCGCGCGCAAGGTGTCTCGCGTGTACCAGTTAATTATGCGATAGGTTAGGATCGTGATCCTAAGGAATGATGAAGATGGATCGATAGAGTTATGTATATTTACACAGCTCCTATAACACCACTTAGATCATTGACAAGTTTTATAAATACTGTCATTGAATGCAACGCTCAATATTAAATTATAAACCAAACGATCAATGATACGTGTAAAACATTAAAATTCAATTTACAGGTCGAAACTATAACAAATTCATGTAAGATGATACCCAAGTATAAACGTAAATGTGTATACACATATACATGACAAACAGAGAAACACTAGAAGATAGGACTCTTTTCAATACGAATGTCATAGAAAGTATTTTCCTTAAATTAATAGGATTTAGGCGAAATAGAGGAAAACAGGTAAACAAAATTATGTTGATACTTTGAAAGAATAGAAAATCGCTTAAATAGAAGACTTAAGGTTAAACAACGAGGAAGACAGATGTGTCAATAATTATGATAAAAAGAATGTGAACTAATTATAAGTAAAAAAAAAAATTGGATAAATAAATTGTATGATTTGTTTATATATTGTAAAATAAATAATCATGTTTAATTTTTTGATTCAGGCCACTATCATAATTACCGGTACAATTATGATACAATGACAGTATCGTAAATAGTATAATATGTATAGTAATTTTGGGATTAAAGAAAATAAAAAGAGAATAATAAAAGAAAGGCCGTAACAATGTAAAGGTTACTGATATAATTTAGCCTTGAATAGGATAATCGTAAATGAAATGAATGTAGTCAATAGGTAGATTTTGTCAATAGAAGGTCGGGCACGAGTAAGCCGGTTTGTATTTAGTTTGTTGCAACCTGTGACTGCTGTCGCCGGTAGTGCCAGCCGCGCCGGCACTGTACATAACCTCAAAAAACAAGTAAACTTACCTCTGGTAACGCGGGCTTCTACTATCTGCACCTCCTCATCGACGATCCTGTCGGTCATCTTCTCCTTCTTCTCGTTACTCTGAACGTCCATACACATAATTTTGTCCCTTTGAGCGACACCTTTTTGCCACGGCTAAGGCACAAGTTTTGCTTATTATTCGTGACATTTACATTAACTGCCGGTATACGTTGAGCCGCGAAATTTGTACGCGCGCGCACAAAAGAAATAAAGGAAAAAGGAACGAGATTCTAACAAAATTAATTTCAAATAAAAAAAAAAGAAAGAATGGGCAGAGGGGAGTTGTGAAAGATAAAGAGGGGGCAAGAGAGAAGGGAGAAAGACAGTAAAAGAAGAGATAGAGAAGGGGGAAAGATATAGAAGCTTTAGGAGGTAAGAACAATTCGATAGAATCTCTTGGAGAGATCGTGAATGTATTTATTCACCACGTTGTACGTCTATCGTGGTGCTCTCGTTGTTGCATTCACTAATACAACAATCCTGTATTCTCACTTTCGCTCTCATAAATTACATACATATAACACTCGCGTGTTGCGTACGTAGAAATATACAAACAAACGACTAAACGACGAAACGGAAGATGACGAATGGAAGAACGAATAGACGCGCCACCATTTTTTTTTTTTTTTGAGTTACTGCACTCTACAACACACGAGTATGAACGGTCGTACGAATGTGAAAACAAAAGTCATACATCCAAAATTAATGATAGAATGAATATTTTCTTATTCTTATTACGGACGAGATACTTTCAAAGCTATCACGAAGCGCGGGATAAATTTCTGTTCGCGCGTTACACCACGTTTTTTCGTTTTTCTTCTTACGGCACTCTGTAGAAGCTGACCCGGGTTCCGTTCAGATTTGAATGTGGCACACGTTGCCAGTTCTTTCTCGTATCTTCCCTCCCGCCTTCTCTTTCCTCACCCTATTCCCCTGTGCTTCCACGGTACCCCCCACCAATTGGCGCTGCTACCCCCTATCCACCGCTCACCCCCCGGACGGTTTCGATCCCCCTCTAACCCCCCCTAATAAACCATCCCGCACCCCTCCTCACCGATGTTTTGCCCCCCTACTCCTCCCTTATGTACTTAACAGTTGCGACGTTGCCAAATCATTCTAAATAAATTGCGCGAAATCATCGAGTAGTGGGGATTTATGAGTACTGTCGCGAGTAGTGGGGGGTGTCTGTATATAACTACATGCGATTCTATTGGTGAACAAATGTTAGGTGGAGGTAATCAAACATGGCGTAATGTTTTCCCAGAGTGGGGGCTTATGTACATAAAATGTAGGCGGGGGTCGGAGGGAGTAAAGCGTGGAGTGGGGATAAGAAAAGATAGGGGGGAGGAGAAAAGCGGTTGAGTTGGGTTATATTGTACGAGAATGGAAATTTCCATGATGCTTCGGGTAGCAGCGACCGTTAGATATCACGTGGTCTAACCGGAAGTCGCAAGGGATGATGGGTTCTCACATCAGCGCCATCTTTTTTCTTCAACGAAATTTCATTTTTGTTGGTTCATTTTTTCCTTTTGAGTATTTATTTTGTGAATGAAGTAATTTTTGAAAGGAAATTTTATTATAATCTATTTGTAAATAATTTAGGAATGTAATTTTAACATGTTCTGTATAGAAATTTTTATGCGAAAAAGTATATATTTTAATATTACAAATAAGTACCAGCGCATTCATAATTTCTATTTTATATACTATATATATATATTTAAATATGTATTTGTGTGCATATTTTTTTATAAATATAAAAAAAAAATTATCATGGTCGCACACGTATTGTTACAGTCTTTCGTGAATATCAGTGCCTTGCATATAAATATGCTTATATATATATAAGGATATACCTTTCCCTTTTTTCATGTTCTCTTCGAGGAGATCGCTGAGGAATGTGTTCCATGTTTCTTTATTTGAATGTGTTAGTTCAATAGCCCAATAATTAATTTGTACTAATTAAATATATATTAGATAAATAATTTAAAAAATTTTGTTGTTTTCAGTATTTTGAAAAGGAATAAGATGATATATTTGATTACAAAAAACTTCTTTTTATTAGAACTCGTAAATAATGGTCGTTACAAAATAGAAATACACACACGTAGATAAAATTCTCCTTTAACTCTAAACGTTTACATTTTCATTTCTTTTCTTTTTCTTCGATTAATGATATTTTATTTTGGAATAATTTAATTTCTTTTTTTTTTTCGAGGAACAAGGTTTTATCCTTTTGTTTTATCGAGAAACTTATTTACGTGAATAAAAAAGATAAAATAATTGTCTAATGATAGGTTAACCTTGATCCCATACAATTTACTAGTACGGCGAAACGAGTTTAAGTAAAAAGAAAAGAAAAAAGAATATAATAAAAATATATATATTAACATATATATGCAGGGTAAGTAAAAAATGTGTTAAAAATTAACCTATGTATAATTATAAGAATAAATCATAATTTTTCCTGACTTTTTCAAAGATGTAAAACGTAATTATATATTACTTTCTATATATATACATATATAAATATGTATATATATATGACATGCACATATTATATATATATCTATATATTTATTACCATATATTTATATGTACATTTATGCATGCATATATAGATATATTATATGTAGGTATGTATATATATATATATATGTACATTTATAATTTGTTTCAATAAGTTAGTCAGTCTCAAGTCAAATAGTTAGAAAACATTAAAATAACCAAATAATAGTCGCACACAAAACCTTAATCATAATAATAAGAATAATAATTATGTCATATTATTCACATTACTTTTTACTATTTTCGATCTTATTGTATTACGCAAAATTCTCTAGATTTGACAGCAAGTGTTGTATATATATCTGTTGTTGTAAAATGACTGTCTGCTGCTATTAGTAATCTATTCCAAAAGTCCACCTGTTAATACGTATAATAATTAATAAATTCTTTATACTTAATTAGATTGTTCTTTTTGGTATTTTATATAATTAAAAATTTTTAAATGATATATAACACTAATTTACTAACTTAAACATTATATTATGCTATAAATATTACTGCAGTGTGGGCCAAAAGTTTTTAGATAATTTAAAAAATTAATTATTTTTTTTCGAAATTGTGTGTTTTAATTAAATACGGTAAAAATGTCCCTTTGTATTATATTAATTAAAAAATATATTTATTACAATTTTTTCTTGCAAATCTTGGGGAGCAACAATGTCTGAACGAAAATTCTAGAATTGGGGTTCGCAGGAACGAATCCTAACGGATGTTTTAAGAACTAACTTGATCCGCCTAAGAATTTAATATTTAATTTGTTAATAAAAAAGAGAATATATTTATATACCTGATGTGTTAGTAGATTTCTTCTGATACTAGATGGTTCGTTCCTCAGTATCGGTTTTAATTCATTTAAAGCCCTTTGCAATAATTCTTTAGCTCGTGCGTAATTTCCCTCAGAAAGATAATACACGCCAGATTCTCCTAGTTCGAGCGCTTCACACATTTCCGGTAAAGGCTCGCTGAGTTTTCCTAATATAACAAAAATATTTATCAAATGCAAAAAGGGGAGAAAAAAATCGATTAGGCGCGTTATCTTAAGAACAAAAAGAGATAATTGGAGCCGACTGTTGATGGAATTCCCAAAGTCCCAAACTTAATATTTTCTAAATTCATTTTTGTAATAAAAAAATCGGGAATGAAATTTCAGTCTCATATCTGGGGACTCTAGAATGCAATAGATTCAAATGCAATATTCATATGACCAATATATGAAATATAAACTCCAAGAAATATTTAACACTATACATGGAATCCCCAACTTCAAATTTATTCGGGACCACATGAAACCATATCGCGTCATTGATCCTTCTTGTTACCCTTTTTTCATATTTTTTCTATTTTCACATATGTATATTATAATACATGTAACAATTATTCGTTTGCTTTTCTCTCCTGACTTGCTACTTATATTTTTACTATTTAAATATGTATACAGGATATGAAAAATAAGTTTGAAAATTTGTCCTATATTCTAGCACTTGATTCAATTTCAATTTGATGAATTTCATTATCTTATTCTCGAATATTACAAATTCTTATTAAATGCTTGCTAATATATGCTTACAAAAATTATTTGGATGATAATTTAAAAAGACTTGTAGTTTCTAGGATTGCAAGCCTAATCAAATGCACGTGTATTTGACAAATTCTCAAGCTTATTTTTTTTCCAAAACAAAAACTTTTGTGAACAAACGTTATTCTACATTTTCGACTTATCGTTAGTTTTTTCAAGTAGAATCATTCCCTTCTCGCTTGTATCACCATTTACGTAATAAGCTGTACGTGAATAAATATGATATATACAAAAAATACGAACGTAATTTTCGATAGAGATATTTCATAGTTCCTTTTAATATCGGTGACAATCTTTTCGGAATCATATTATAATGGATTGGCGGCTTTGTCAGTTCTTTAGGACTTGTAGATATATTTACTGAATTATCATCTCTTAATTCCGATCTAATTTCTTCCATGCGATAGATTAAATCATGTATGCATAATTTTATATCCTTTTTCTTATCTTCAAAAATATCGCCTAATGAAAGAATGATAGATACGATTAAGGATAAAAATATTATCGTGAATTAGAGAGAAAAAAAAAAACAAATAACTAAAAATAAAATGGCATACGCGTTTAACACACAAGTGCATAGAAAAAGAAAAACTAATACTTACTTGTTAACATAGGAACCAAATATTTCAAAACATTGGAATACAAATCGAAGGCCTCTTTCGATTTTTTTTCAAATTCCAATTCACTAGCGTTTTGTAAAAGTTTCTGTGCTTTTATAAAATTTTTCTCGCATGGCATATGTTCCAGATCCAAAAACTCATCGGAGAAGAAGTCCTCGAATTTTAAGCGATATTCAAGGTTGTGCTGAAGCAAGGATGTTAGAAGATTCTTGCATGCATTGGAAATACGAGGTATTTGTGGAATCTATGTGTTTGACGTTGAAGAGAAAAAACAGAAAAGAAAAAAAAAAAAAATTAAACAACAAAAAAAGTGAAATAAAATAAAACGGAAGAAAATATTATTTTGCAAGAAATTTTTTTTTACGTGAAATTAAAGCGATCGCAAGATTAAAAACATTATTTATTTAAATAGTCTATCTATCTTTCTTAATTTTGTGTAGATTAAAGATATAGATGAATATATAGTTAATTTTGAAAATATATCAAAAGGAATGAAAAAAACGTCAGGATAGAAAAATTTTTGCGTACAATGGTATTATCACCTCGATTTGATGGCATTTCTTGATTTTATCCGTCAATTCAGGAATAAGACCAAAATAAGGTGACTTTCTAAAAATCCATTCATACATGATTACACCTATGCTCCACAGATCGACGCGATTATCAAACTGTTTGTCTAATAAGATTTCCGGTGCCTTGTAAAGTGGTGATCCATGTAGGTTTAATTTGTATTCATTGTTAGATAGATATTGGGCAAAACCATAATCTGTAATAATAATAAAAAAAGAAAAAGAAAACAAGAAAAAATAAAGGAAAAAGAAAAAGTACAAATGATTCACGAAATGATATTCAATAATCGACATATACGATTGTCTTGAAATTTCGTTTTTAAATTTTACATAAGATTTAATTAAATACCAGTCATCCGTACTTTACTTTTCCCTTTTTAATTCTTTTTTGTTTTATTGTTAATTGATATATGTGTGCGTGCGTGCGCGCGCTCGCGTGTGTGTACATAAACGAACCTCCGACCTTGAGTGTGACAAAAGGTTTTGTCGCGATCAATATATTTTTTGGTTTCAAATTCATATGGAAAATATTGTGGCTGTGCAAATATTGCAATGCTGAAGCTAACTGTTGCAAGATTTGTTGGGACTTCAACAAACTCATTTGATAATCCGAAAATGAGCCGCCATCGCAATATTCCAATACAAAATACATTCGTCTAAAATCAAAAGAATGGGAGATAAAATTTTAATGTTAAGTACAAAACCATTTATTTTTTTCTATATTAAAAATTAAATTAAATTAAATTTTATTAACAATCATTTTCTTTATTATTTATTTTACGGGGTAGAGAATAAAATTTTCTTAAATGATTGTAAACATCAATTATTTCATTTCATGACTGTTCAAGCTTGTGGTTAAATTTTTAATTTGATAATCTGGATTTGTGGTTTTACTGTTTGATAAAAAGAAACACAAATAAATTAATAAATAAACAGAAAATATTTCGTAAAATAGTAATTGATTTTGTAAGACGTTTGGAAGCTTTCGTCCCGCTCTATGAAAAAGACATAAAATAAAATATATTATAAATAAAAGAAAATTAATGAAAACTTTAATTTTTTACATTTATATTCCTCTGTCAGATGTTTGATATCACTAGATACTACTTTTTAATCTAATTTAATTTAATTTAATTTAATTTAATTCTATTTATAAGATAAAAGAAAAGAAATAAAAAAGTTTAACGCACGATCCATGTATGAAAAATTCCTTCAATTTGACAATATTTTCATGTTCTAATGACTTCAGTACATTGCTTGCCTCGACGATTTTTTCGATCGTACTTTTTGATATTTTTGATACATTGATACATTTTATCGCCAGTATTTCTTCTGGATTATCCTAAGAACAACATTATCGTGTTTTTTTTTAATTCACTTTATTTTTGCATAAAATATCATTAATAATTGGAAAATGCAGAGTAAAAATCAAAAAGATTGATAATTATTATTACTAATGCTTATATCTAATCTAAACTTTTCTTCGAATTTTTATATCTAAATATATATATATATATATTTGGTATTTTAAATGAATAATTATTTTATATATAATATATCGAGTGTATTTTTCAAAAATTGATATTTATTCGATTGCACGATCTAGTTGAGAGTTTCATTTAACTTTTATTTTTAGATATTGCGATCGTTCACGAGATACATGTCAAATAATTTCTCGATATTGTTATTGCTTGATAAATATTACTATCGACAAATCGTTAATGGTAAACACAAATGACCTAAGTAATTGTTTTATATTACTTCTAATAACGTTTCTTATTCTCAAATATATATTTGAAATATTTTTTTCAAAAATTTGACTCGGATTAAAAATATTCTAAAGACTACATCTATTCGATAAAAAAAAAAATAAAACAAAGCAAAGAAAGAAAAATCATGAAGAAAAATATTAATCGAACAAAAGGAAAAAGTTCAACGAGTTCGTGCAAACGAATGATTTAGATTTCAGATAAAAAGATTTACGTAAGTTTACTTATCTCTTATCTAGTTGTTAAAAAATTAAAAAGAAGTTCTAAGCAAAAGAATAAACTCTTTTAATATCTTAAAGATAATGAATTATCTCCCTTTAAAATATCTACTTATGTACGCTCCTAAGAATAATATACAATTTTATATGTGTGCGAAAGAGAGTACTTTTGTTCTGAAATTCAGAATACAAAAATGTTTATATACCTTTCGTACTGCTAAAAAAACGGTCGCATTGCTTCCCACACCGATTAAGTCGAGAAACAAATAATCACTCACACTTGGCGAATTCATTTTACCCGATAATTATAATCTTTGCTTTAACATTATAACTCAGAGTATCGCGATAATCCAGGATTCGCTTGACGGAATAAATTTGATACACCTTTCTACTCCATGCCTGCGATATTACAATAGCATAAATGTCTACAGTTACAACACATTTTATCTAACTTAAATATGTTTCTATTTCCTTAACCGTGTTTATAATGTTATATATAATTTTAAGGTCATATACTTTATGTATATCTGTTATTTATTTTATTTAGTTTATTTGTTTGCCACAAGTATATACAAAAAAAAGTTTTACTTTCGATTAATTTTAAGTTCGACATTTTAAATATTTCGTTCGAATATAAATGATACTCTTAGAAATATTTTTTTCGGTCAAACTAACTTTTATTTGAAATAAAAGCTTTCATGTTCAAAACTTTTCAATCCATCTAGATATATACAATATATATATTATATATATATATAATTTTCTTGTTGATATAATTATAGAGATTTAAATTATTTATTCTGTTAAAAATTGTAGTTAAAAAAGAAAAAAAAAAAAACTTATAACGATACTGAGACAGAGTGAAATAATAATTTTTTTTTTTTCTTTAAAATAATATAAATTATATAAAATAATCTGATATACGATATATTAAATGTTTTATTTTGTCAAAAGAAAAGAAAAGAAAGAAAATATAATATAAGACTGAAACGAATTAAAATGTATTAGAAAAAAAAATGTTAAAAACCGATTAAGAATTGTATTATAAATAATGAATATAATATAAATATTGATAAATGATAAATGATATGAATTTGAAAAAAGAGTAAGCGAAGATGGCGCCATTACTAATGAAGCCATTGGTTGTTAGCTGTGTGCTACATTCGCGCTCAAACGGTACAGAAGCCAAGTTCAAAGGATTGACTGGGGCGACATCGTACGGCGACCGTTTGTTTTTCGCGAATTTGCTAAGAGTACTGCACTGAATCAGCAGAAGCAGAAGTAGTAGAAGCTGTAGTACCGTGTCATAATTACGACCAAAATCGGACGACGACGACGACGACGACGACGACGAGTATCTCTTGGACAAATAATTTAATTGCAGAATTCCGTGTTTCCGAACTATTACCTTATTTACTTAATACGAAAAAAAGGAAAGTGAACTAAAAGAATAAAGAAAAATTTGAAAATTCTCGTCTGTAGGAAAGAAAAAGAAGAAAAAAAAAAAGTGGAAGAAGGTCGAAGAAAAAGAGGTGGAGGAAGAGGTGGAGGAGAGGGAGAGGACAGAAGGAAGAAGAAGGGGAAGACGAGTAATCGGAAAAGACGAAAAAGATAAAAGAAATAAAGGGGCAAGAGGAAGAAGAATAGAATTGTGTTAAAGTGACAAAGAAAAAGATTTAAGATAGGAAGAGAAGAAGGAACACAACGCTTTTCGTGTTCGCTCAATACCGAACGAAAAACTTGTCTTCTCTTTTCGACATTTCTCCTCTGATATACACCTACATACATATCAGACACAGATTAACGTTATGGACGTGACAGCAGTTGTCGAGCTATAAGCTCGTATCTCCTTCTTTCCTTCATAGTAAATGGTGCGTTCCAAATCTACTTGATTCTATCCTTTCTCTCTCATTTTTTCTTATTCTATCGCTTCATCTGTCGCTATCTTTATTTTATCCTCTTTTTTCTCTCTCTTTCTCTTTCTTTCATCGTTATCTATCGCTTCGAAGAGCGCATTGAATACAAACGAGAAAGAACGGGTGCAATGGACGAGGGGCGCATATGTTTATATACCAATACGACCATCGACAAGCACAATTATTTATTAACAAATGTGTGTTAGATTTTTCTCATATGTTCCGTGTGACAAAATGTGTTATTAGAGAGTTTTACTTTTTTTTTTTATATATATATAAAAAGAAAAAGAGAGAAGACAAAAAAAAGTGTCTAAATGATATGTCATCTTTTTTCTTCTTTAGGAAAACAAGAAACATTAATGATGGGTTTTTATCTTTTTAACGGATATCATCATAAATACCTGTGTGCTGCTGCTGATTCTTAAAGTGACTACAACGACGTCTTCCAATACAAATAATCGTAATAATTTTATTATTATTATTTTTTTTGTCTTTATCTTTTAACATAAATCGCAAGGATAAAGACGTTTTGCAGTGTTCAACGTTACCGATCGATCGCGAATTATCGGCTTTTTCCGACTAATCTCGTTTGGTTCGTTTTATTATGTATTTCCTCATGGTAGAGAGAGCTTAGATAAAAATTCAATCTAACATTGACTCATCGTATATACGTTTTGTTTAACTTGTTGTAGGTTAATACAGTGTACTTTTAAGTTTCCTATTTGAAAATTCGTGAATACCATTATTCAGTGATTAATTTCGTGTTATGTGTGTGTGCGCATAATACAGTTTATCCATTCGTGTCTATAATTTTATTTAGAAGAAAACCGAATTGTGATTAACTTGTCTTCTGATCGTGAAGTGAGATTGTACTACTGTGTTTGTTTCATATAATAGAATTTTCGGAAGGTACATACACATATACATATACATCCTTTGTAAAGTGTGTATTTCAAGGTTATGAAGCAATAGTTATCAGCATATCGATGCGATAAGATTTGTTGATAATTTTTCAAGAAACGTTGTTGTGTTCAATTATTTTTCTTCATTTTTGTTACGTGTACAAATAATAGAAGAGAATTTATATTAGATTTCTTATTTCTACTGCGCTCCAAATTTTTTTTTTTCTTTTTTTTTAATGACAATATAATTGTGGATGCATAATTTCGCAAATCAACTTTGTTTCTTAACCATTTTATCTTTTTATGTCTTTTTTATTTTTTTATCTTGAGAGTTCTGAAAAAGAAATATTCTTGGGAATATTCTCATCGTTATAATAAGAAAAGAAAAAAAGAAAATCGCTATTAGTTTTCACAAAAGGTTATTTATTTCGAGAACAATTCGTTCTCACGCGCACACTCTTTCTCTTTTCTCGCTCTCTTTCTCTCTCTTTTTTCTTTCTTTCCTTCTTTCTTTTCTTCTTTCGAGTCCGCAAACGATAAGAATTATCAATCGCTGTAGCGACAAATACTTATCGCTATTGGTCAGAAGGAAGATTTTCGCGATTCGTGATTGGTCGTTGAGATCTTGACCCATTCATCGTTTCTCCCGTGACTGCAGTGTTCGGTGTATCAGCTGCCGGAGCAGAGCGCTTCGATGTTTTGGCAGCTGATATTATTTTTCACTTCCGCCGATATTATTGGAGCACTTTCAAATTTAATCGTTTAAATCGCATTTAATCGATACCAAGTTATTTTTCATAGTCTCGCGAAAGGGTTTGTTTGTTAAAATAACGGAAGAAAGAAAATTTGTTAACGGTGTTGAACTGTATATCTACATATATAGAATCGCATAGGAGATATGTCTGACACTTTATTCGGGGAAGTAGAAGATAATGACGTCATGTACTGAAACATAAGAACTTTTTTTTCCACCTTGTTCTCTGTAATCGTTCGTGGATAAAGGTTATACAATGTTCTAATACATCTAATTTATTTTTTAGATTAGTAATCTTTGATAATGTGTGTATATGTATAATATGTATATGTATGTGTGTATGTAGGTTACGAAGAGTAGTTTATCAAATTTGGATACAGTGTAAACTGTTTCGATCTTTCTAATTATATTCCTCATTGCTGTTAGTTTATATTATATTGTGTTAAGCGTCAAGCTTTTCTTGTTGAGCTTTTCACTTAGGCTATAATGATTCGTCAGCCATCGAAAAATAGAACATGTCAATCATTAGTGACCAATACAACCTGGACAGAAAGTTTAAGGCCAATCTATAGGCACTGGCATGGCATTTAACGTATAGATATATTTTTATAGATAAAATTGATAGTTGGAACTAAAATCTTTATGTTTAGTAATTTTATAAAAATGAGTAGTCTGTCACCAAAGCAGCATTCTTTATAATTTGACAATTAGATGTTCTTTTTGTTAGTTCAATATATATTAATACAAAAGTGTTTTAAACTTAATGGTTCAATAGAGAATGGATTCAGAAGAAGAAACAATGAACGATTCCGGAAACGAGTCTAGTGGAGATGATGTTGATTATGCTATGGATATTGAATCTGGGAATCTACGTGACCGGAATATGGAAGTTGACGAATATCCATTTGAAGTTTTATCAACAGAAGAAATTGTACAACATATGGTTGATTCTATAAAGGAGGTCAACAGCGTTGTTGAAGTATGTTTTATAGAATTAGCTAACTGATCGAATAATAGAATATTATTTTTTGATCTGTACACATCTACATGAAATCATCACTTGTAGATACCAGCAACAACAACGCGCATTTTGTTAAATCATTTTAAATGGGACAAAGAAAAATTAATGGAACGCTTTTATGATACGGATCAAGAAAAATTATTTAGAGAAGCACGTGTCATTAATCCATTCAGAAAAGGTTCTGTGATAAATAAGAGTTGGTCCTCTCAAAGTTCCTTGGTAAAAATAATAATATATATATACATAAATAAATATTAATCTCTCAGTGTAGAATTATGAAAGGAACGGATTGATTGTTAAGTTAACCATACATGTCTTTCTTTAGTCTAGTAGGAGAACATCTGTAAATGGGACAGAAGAATGCGGAATTTGTTTAATGACTTTACCATCCTCTGTAAGTGTTATTGTATTTGGACAGTTGATTATTATTAAGTATAATATATTTATATATATATACATAAAATAATATTTAGATGATGACTGGTCTGGAATGTGGACATCGTTTTTGCACCGGATGCTGGGGTGAATATCTCACAACTAAAATAATGGAAGAAGGTGTTGGACAAACAATTGCATGTGCCGCTCATGCATGTGACATTTTAGTTGATGATGCTAGTGTTATGCGGCTAGTTAAAGACTCAAAAGTTAAACTGAAATATCAACACTTGATAACAAACAGTTTTGTCGAAGTAAGGACTCGTATTTTTGAAATAATAAATATTTTATTGATATATTACAAATAGTCATGTTACATTTGATTTATTTAACAGTGCAATAGGCTATTAAAGTGGTGTCCATCGCCAGATTGTAGTAATGCTGTCAAAGTACAATACGTAGATGCAAGACCTGTTACATGTAAATGTGGTCACACATTTTGTTTTTATTGCTGTGGAGATTGGCACGACCCGGTTAAATGTCATTTGTTGCGTAAGTGGATCAAAAAATGTGATGACGATTCG